AGCTGGAAGATAGGCCAGAGGCCATGTCTCCAGCCAAGGACAAGCCACCTGCTAACATGATGTGCCGAACTACATTTCGGTATCTTGCTGAAGACCACGAACATCTTAAAATCTCCTGAAGAAGAGAAAGCAGGGCCATGTTCTGTATCTCCAAACCTGTCAGTGGAAAGGCACCATTCTTTTTTCTGAAGGCAGGAAGGAGGCAAATCCCCTTCTCAACCTAAAGTGCATACATTTGCTTTGTTTTAAGATCTCACTGACAAGAACAAGAAAAGCACAGGAACTTCAAATACCAAATCTGCATAATTAGCACACCATTGTCACAAGCATACAGAAAGCAAAAGTAACGTTTAAGTAAACCCCATGGAAGGATTGTGCTCGTACATTTAAAAATAAAAATAATGTTTCAGTCCAAGTCCAGCTAGCAAAAGCTTTTCAGAACTCAACACTGCAGTTTTACAGAAAACAGAGTTTTTAGATGGAAAGCCAGTGATGGGAGGAATCAGAGGAAGACCTTCCCAAGAAATAAGACCAATGAAAAAAAATTTCCAAAATAAAATTCCATTTTAATCATTTTTAACTTTACAGTATTTGTTGCTGTGATGTCAGCAGAAGTCAGAACCAGTACTTTAGTGGTGACACTAGTTTTAATAAGATTAGGGGCAGCTCCTAATTTAGTAGGCATTAAAAAAACTTGCTTTTAGATCAAAACATTTTCTGTGTTGTAATTAATTTCATCTAGCCCTTTGAACAAGAGAACAAAAGAACTCATTGTACAAATCAGAAGAACAATGGTCCTCAATATGCTAGACAAAACATTTCAATGCTGGTGAGAACAGCTCCCCTGTTATTCATAGAGAGAAAGCAAACCCTTCCTTAAAGTGCTAACATTTCATGTTATTTCATTACAATAAACAGAAGATGCTTTAAAACATCTTGTATTCAACGTCACTGTGTAGCAATCACAAGCTGGCTTTAATGATTTCATTAAAAAATGAACACAGTTTTGATTCAATGTCTATGACATCAGCAAATACACATGATGGGATATTTCAATAACCTCTCAATAGCAGAATACCATCTCCTACTGCACAGCAAGCAAAAATAAACCAAAGAGTTTGGGCAAGGATAAGCAAACTTTTAAAAATGCAGATTTAAAAGCTTCAAACAAATGTACTTGTGGAAGAACTTCTCCAAAATTGAATCAGTAAAAACACGGGCTTATTGAAAACTTGTACTTTCAGTAAAAAAAAGTGGCAAAAAATTCCTCATTGAGGTCTGTTGTTAACTCCTCAAACATTTTGCTGTGTTTTACTCTGGGCACAGGCAACACCGAATAACTCTACATTTTCAATTAATTCCAGCAATGCATAGCAAGTTGTTATACAGGGAAACTTTAATTTCTTTCCTCCATGGGTTTATGCATGTCCTGTCTTTCCCGTTTCAGCTGAACTCTGCATGTCCGGACTTACTTATTCCCACCTCTCCCATACCTTGTGAGCTTCTGCAAATACTCTGCCAAATCCCAGACTGATCTCCACACCCCAAGTCCTCTTCTGCATGGTGTGTGCTGGAGAGCAAAACACTTCCCTCCGTTCATGTGGTTGGGAGGCAGCAGAGGGGAAGTACGAGCTACAGATCAGATCAAATGCTAGCTTATGTCAGACTGAAACATAATGCAGATTTATTTGGATAGTTTTACAAATATATCAGCATATTTGGTATTTAAAGCAAATCACCTGGAAAAAGGGGAGAGATTTAGGCTAACACAGAACACCTACTTCTCAAAGCACCTGAAGAGGGTCTGCAGATAATAATAATACAAGCACAAGCACAGCTCTATTAACTGTGTAGGTCACCACACCATCTGTCCATCAGCAACCCAGACCATTTAATCCACCATCTGCCTGTGAACATTAGAAGAAGCCAAGCCTTGATTTCATTAGGGTTCATATAGCTTCCAAGTAAAATGTAGGTCTCAGATTTAGGTTAATACATTTTATTTCTCAGAATAACCTAGATTCATATTGATAAAGACCACTAAGCCACCATGCTAGCTCTCCTTTTTATCTCCATTGAACAGGATGTGGTCGGCCCCAGGCAAAGCCACAGCTTTATCTCCATTTAAAACAGCTTTTTTTGGACTATTAGAAAAATAAAAAGGTCTGAAATGCAGGTCTTGCATCACTGATACCATGCTCTTGTACTGCAAACACTACACTGTATAAGATAACATAATCCATCCCACAACCTCTCCAGGACGAGAGGAAATGGCCTCAAGTTGCACTAAGGGAGGTTTAGACTGGACATTAGGAAAAACTTCTTTACTGAAAGAGTGGTCAGGCCTTGGAACAGGCTGCCCAGGGAAGTGGTGGAGTCACCATCCCTGGAAGTATTTAAAAGACGTGTAGATGAGGCGCTTAGGGACATGGTTTAGTGGGCATGGTGGTGTTGGGTTAACGGTTGGACTTCATGATCTTAGAGGTCTTTTCCAACCTTAACGATTCTATGATTCTATTCTATAAATTTTGTCTTAAAACCCTCCAGGTCCCTTGCAGATGTTACTGCTATCGGAAGCTGATCGAGAACTTCACTGCACTGTAACTGGAAACCATCTTCCAGTTATCAGCCTTCATGAATTTGTGGCCAGTTTGTGCCCGTTCTTGTAAAATTGAGATCTTCCCCAAGGCTATTCCTCCCTGTGAAATTCTGGACAAATTAAACCCCCGCCTCAGCCTAAGTGCTTTTCAGTCTCTCTTTACACAACAGGATCTCCCTTCCTCTGAAAGCCCTAGCAAACTTGTTCACTTTGAGTTCCCCTTTCTCAAACACTGGTAAGTAAAGACACACCAATTTCGCAGAGGCCTGAATGTGGCACCCAGAAGTGCTTTGCCAGATTAAAAAGCAGCAGTAATTTTTCACAGGACAACAGAAAAGCTCAACCTCCAAGTTTAAGTACTGTTCCTGGTATTAGCAACTGAGGCAAAAAATCCAAGGACCCAACTCACCATCTATCCTCTCACAGATCTCAGAGACTTAATCCAGCCCTTGGGGGCACTTTCCAGGTAGGACGGGGGACCACACCTTGTAGGGACAGATGCTGGAGGAAGGTAAGGCTGGGACAACATTTACAGTCACAAGAGACACTGTGTTAACTTCTTGCTAAAAAAAAAAAATATTCTAAATGAATTACCAAGAGGGGTCCTGGAAGGAACATCTTGTCTCCTGCTCAACTGTTGCCATGGCCACCAGCTCACTGCTGATCTAAATCAAAGCACAGAGAAGCAACAAGCACGTCCTTTCCCAGCCCAGCGCTCCCAAGAGCCCCTCTCCCTGGCTGCGGGGCAGCTCTTCCCGCAGCTCAGCCCCAGGGCGGCCAGGGAGCGGAGACAACAACGGCACCGGGACGTGCCAAGCGCACCGAGTCAGTGGTTGCAGCACCATGTTTCTTTGGGGCTCGCACAGCTTCAGATTTAGGGTGTTCTTTAAAGAAGGGCACAAAGAGGCTTTTGAGCGAAAAGGCAGCAGTGACGCACAGCTCTGTTACAGGGACTCCCTTCTACCTTCCCACTCCCTTCTGGCTCCGAAGACCATACCTGCTCACAGACAGGCAGGGCACAGGCAAACCCAGAGCTTTGTTGGGTGATTAGAGAATTTGCAATGAAGGCTAATGCGCGCAGATGCTCAGGCACTGTATTTATATGCTTTCCCATCATGGCAGACAGGCCCCAATAGGCAGTGCCTGTACTCCCTAACGCTCTTACTCAGAAGCATTGCACCTATTTTTACTCATTCCCCATCCAACATGGGAGCACACTGTACCTCTGGCAGAGATGGAGAATATGCAGAAAGACAGATGGAGACAAGACGGTACAGGGAAATGTTTTAAACACATTACCCACCTTTACTAAAACAGAAAAATCATCGCCTAACACTGTTGCCGCTTCTAAGACTAGACACTAAAGTTACAATGTACTAAGATTAGTAATTTTTATAATTACAGGCTTTAAGGTAACACTAAAACTCACAATGCATCAAGCTAAAGCAGTACAGTGACATGTGCCTGCCCAGATGGGGTGTACTTTCAGTGTCTGTTATCAAGAGATGCAAAACTATCTTAGGACTGTATTTATTATATTCCTGTTCTGCACAGGCTTGCAGAAGGTTTTCTGGAATCATCTATATCAACAGACTTTTATTAAAAGCTATCATGTGATGTTGACAGCTTATCCCCTGGCCGCACCACTGGTGTAATACAGCCACGAGAGCCTGTCCTGTGCTAAGCAGAACACTACAGACACTGCAGCCTCTGCAGCTGAAGAGAAACAAAAGCCGCTGGCTGCATATCAGCATGCTGAGTGGGAAGTCAGCAAGGTAATCTGGAATGAGCTTGTGCTCTACAAAACACACCACGTAACTTCAGTGCTGTGCTCCGCCTAACAAAGAATATGTCCTCTGTCTTGGATGCTTGTGGTGCAACCGCTCCTCTAAAAGGATTATCCCTATAGCAACCAGAGCGATCAGGCTCATCTCCGCACTACTCTGCCAGGTGAATAACCTACCAGAAAATGACCATGGCTTTGTCATGACCCAGGCCTAGCAAAGCAGGAGCGCTGTATCTGGGGCAGCCTGGTGACTTCCATCTCCTCTCAACACAAATAGACTGAGCTCCTCCTTTCCTAGCCAGTGAACCAGATGGGATGTGACAGAGCTGCAGCTCTTCAGCATATTGCATGTCTCAAAGAAAATGTTTTTCAGGAGACCAGCCATCCTGTGAGATGTTGTGAAGCCTCAGCAGAGCAGTCCAGGTCTGCTGAGTCAGAAGTCAGAACAATGTGCTCTGCATGCAAGGGTGAAGGGCAGTTTCTGCCAACTGGACATATTCAAGTTCTTATTTATTAAACCTTAACAGGAGTTAAAATTAAGATACTCTCTCTCAGCATTACTGATGGGCCATGGGGAGTCTGCCCACAGATCCCTGTCTCCTGCACATGTCTTACCTGACAGTCGAAGTCCTGGAAGTTGCGAGCCGCATTCTGTTAACAAAAACCAGAGGGGAAAGAAAAGAAAAAAAAAAAAAAAAAAAAAAAAAGAGTTCAGCACAGTACCCCAGAACACCCCCAACAACATCACGAAAGTTCCCCTCAGAGACCTCTGCTTCAGCACAGTCTAGCCTGACTGCAGTCAGGACAGCAGCGAAATGTGAGACCCGTAAAATAAACCTTCATGCAAGTTCTGCCCATTACTATACAGCAAGTTTGCTGGGGGCTGTCAACTAAGGATAGTACCTGTGGACACAGCTAAGAGTTGAGAGCATTCGAGCAGGGACAGATGCACATAGGAAGGACCTGCACCAAAGTTGGGCTGGTTATGAGGTTGGGTTTTGTCTGGTTCTGGTGCCCATTATCAATTTGAATGCAAAACTCTTGAAAGGACTACCACTAGGATCTCACTGAATGACTACAAGAAAACAAGCTATGCAGTCAGGTACTCTGTAGTAACAGCTGTGTGCATGGTATCGTTCCACAGCAATCAGTGACCTGTAAGCTACTGAAACCAGAGCGCATGGGAATTGGGCTTAGCAATTCACAACTGACTTCTCCCAGAGGGTGACATCACACATACAGGCGAGCACAGTAAGTACAGCACACATATGCCGTACTGCAAGTTTGAATTGTCCGTATGCCCGCATGCTTCGTAAGACTCTGGCTCTGACCACAGAGTAGGTTACGCTACTGAGTGCTGTTAAATGCTGCAAAAGGCTGAGCAAATAATTTGGGACAGCATTCTACATGTTTTAGGCATAACACCTTAGTGCTAAAATTACAACTAGGATCATATATGCACAACAGAAACACCCCAAATGTTTCTTCTGGCTGAGCACCTTAACTCCTCTCCACATGCGAACAAACGGCCCTGTTTTCCTCCCCCCAAAGCTTTGCCACATTAGCAAGAACACAGGTTGCTACCTACATCTTCAGTCTGAGACATGTAAGTTGAGATATCTGCAAATCTGTTTTAAGAATCCCCCTGGTGTTAACTATTGAACCGTGTCAATGTTTTGAACGTGATGTGGCACAAAGCACCAAATCCTCAGGATGGGGGAAGAGAAAATAAAAAGCAGCCCCCTCTTATTTCAGTTTGAGATCCTGAAGTTAGTTGAGATTTCTGACAACTCTCTCTATGCCTGTTTCCCTGCTCTGTTAAATACGGACAGTAGAGCTTTCTCATCTACCAGGTCGTAAAGAAGGTAAATTCAGTCATCCAATGCCACAGTGATTAAGGACTGTAAAAAAGCCTATGAAGAAATAATGAACTTCTGTATCCAACACTGGACTTGGATGGTGCATGCTAACTAAAGAAAAGGCTGATCTGAATTTGTACTGAGCAAAACAAGATTCCCTGGGCAGGGAGCAGGGAGGAAACGACACAAAGCAAAGAATGAAGGTCTGCAACTGTGTTGCTTATTGTCAGGGTATACCACCATGCACAAGTAGCATTAGTGCTGACATGTCCTGACTCCTGGATACTTGCTTTTAATACACCGAAATCTGACTTTAAACCATTAATCTACTCATTGTCCTAACTTGAGAAAGGCTAAGACTAAGGCATGTTTTTCAGTCCTCTGAAGGTGTGATGGCTGCACCTCAAAGGCAAAGAGCTAGCTGCAATGACCCAATCCAGCCTAAGGGCTGTCCATTCAATCTCCTGAATCAACCTGTTGCATTTCAGTAAGTTTTCACCGAGGCTGTATTAATAGGAGTCAAAGGTGCCAGAATATGGACCAGCCAGAATAATAAAATGTCATTGGGATAAGTTTTCTGATCAGGTTACAGGCACTACTCTCTTTTTCTCTCTCTTTTAACTAGATGGGAACATTTGAAGTTGATTTTCTTTCCCTGTATAAAGTCACTGCATTTTAGTGAGCCTTAATGAGGTGAACATATATCATCTAATGTGTTTTACTTCCCTGCACTTACTATTTGGCTTAAGTTACACACAAACATAAGAGTGTTTGTGTTCTTTAAAAGTCAGGCTTGTAATTTTCTGCTGTCTTAGATCTGAGACAAAACAAAGCCAGGACTCAGTGTCCCCCGTGGCATTTCCTACAGTTCAGACAAGTGAACAAGGTATGACCCATTTCCACTTCCCAGGCTTTAAAGTTTGAATATTAAGACACCAGAGCTCCTTTTCTCTGTACAGCAGCCTTTATGTCTGAAGAGTTTATAAGCACTCACTCATTAGCACCTTAAGAATTTTTCTGTACTATTTCTGACCATTAATCCATGCGGGCTCAAACTCCTACATCTAAAATGGGTTGGTCAGTAAAAATCTTAGCGAACTGCCGGCTCAATCCTTTTTGGACTCTGATACACTGCACAGAACAGCACGTTATGGCACCACACCCACATGTTCCATAAACTATGTCTAAAAAGCACATGTATTATTTCAAGCTTGAAAGCATTAATAAGGGCCAGACCTCAGAGATGGTAGCTCCCTGAGGCATTTCTTTTGTTAAAGGGTAAAAAGGAGAGCCATAGCACACTTCTCTTCCCATGCAATGCTAAGGATGGTTCTAGAGCCACTCTACGTATTTTTTCCTACAGAGATAGTATATACTTCCTGTAACTTCAAAACTGAGTAAAGGAAATCAAATATCACTTCGTATGTGCCCTTCCGTATGCTGGTTAACATCACTGGGCTGACTATGTAAGCACTCTGCATTTAAACCAGAACTGTCCCAGCTATTAGCTAAGAGAAGTGGCTGTGCAGATGATGGCAGGGACCTGATAGGACTGACCAGGCAATACTCGACAGAAAGACTGGAAAACTTATAAAGTGAAAACCACTTTGTTTTGGCATGGTTCAATGCCTCCTACTTAGGTCAGCTCACTGAAGCAAGGGGAATCCACCCTCTTGAACTCAAACATGGAAAATCCTAGGAGAATCATGAGCAAGAGCTGGGGCACTGCATTTAGGAAGCTTGTCTTCTGTAAATGTTTATCTCTCATTTTGAAGTCGTGAACTGTTTTCAAGGCCTTTCCATATTTTTATCTGCTGGTCTACACTGATTTTGTTCTTCCAAGGCTCACCCTCCCTGCAAATGTTTTAAAAAGTTATGTTTAAGCTATGGTGGAAGCCTAGTAGTCAGCACTAGACTGTAAGAATAGGCAGCTGGACTGCAGATTTCAGATTTCAGCTGAACTTTTAGATTTTACCGATACTAAACAGATATGCTAGCACACTGCAGAAATGAGCAGAAACTAAGCGGCACAGACTAAAACATAGCAGAATTTCAGAGCGGCAAAGCATCAAACTTGGCTGTTAGGTATGCAAAGCGACCAAACCGCATTGCTCATAATCACAATTTGCAGATGCAAGATTCTAGATCTTGTTGGGATGGACCATAATGACTTAGGCACTCAGAGCAACAGAATCCAGTGAGGCTAGGGCTTTCCTAAAGCCTAGATGGCTCTCCTCCAGCCTACAGAAGACAGAGTGAAAGCCCTGAACAGCTGCTGCAACACAATGATTTTCCGAAGTTTCAGTATTGCACGAATCCGGACTGCTCTAGCTAGGCTCTGCAAATATTAAAAGTAAATGGATCTCCATTACTAAATCCAGGGTCACAGGGTTGTTTTAGGGGTTAAAACACAAAAGGATAATTTAAGACAAAGATTTTAAACCAAAAAGTAAAAAAAAAGAAAATGGGATACAATCCAAGGTTTCTCTAACAAGCATGAACTTATTAGAGGTTCTACAGCTCCACCAGGTCAGGAATCGTATCACCTTTCCAATTTCTGCCCTGCCTTTGTAAATTCTCAGTACAGGCATGACATACTGTTTGGCCAGGACTCCAAACTTACCTGAACTGTAGTGGTCTATCTTTCCCTGAGTCTTTGGAAGAGTATGTGATGGTGGATTATCACAGTGGGGAAGCATTTACTGTTTTTCAGTACTTAAGGTACTACAAGCTGTAAACAGACTCTGGCAATCAGGGCTCCTTGCCAGACAAAGTCAGCCAGAGTACACCTGTGAAAGCAAAGGAGCAGCCAGCATTACCTTATCGTTCAGGAGTGGTTTGATCTCTGTCAATTGAACATCCTGTAGTTCGTCCATGGTTCTGTAAGTGGAGCCAATTAACCCTCAGAGCAGCAAATGGGTGATTCTGAAACAAAGGCATATTGTTAGAAACAGTATTACAAGAGATGGTAGCCAAAGAAAGCTTTAAGATCTTTCATTAGGCTTGTTGTCCTGGTTTCGGCTGGGATAGGGTTAAATTTCTTCCTAGTGCTGTGTTTTGGATTTAGTATGAGGAGAATGTTGATAACACACTGATGTTTTCAGTTGTTGCTAAGTGCCCTCCTAGTCCAAGGACAGCTCCCATGCCTACTGACTGAGCTAGGTACACAAGGTGGGAGGGAACATAATCAGGACAGCCAGCCCAGCTGGCTAATGGGGTATTCCATACCATGTGACGTCATGCTCAGTATATGAATGGTAGGCGTGATCCAGGAAGTACCGATCGCTACCTGGTTATCGGTCAGCGCGGGTGGTGAGCAATTGCATTGTGCATCACTCATTTTGTATATTTTATCATTATCATTATTATTCTCCCTTTTCTGTTCTATTAAACTGTCTTTATCTCAACTCATGAGTTTTTCTCACTCTTACACTTCCGATTCTCTCCCCGTCCCACTGGGGGGGGGGGGGAGTGAGTGAGCGGCTGCGTGGGGTTTGGCTGCCTGCCAGGTTAAACTACGACACTTGTATACGCTCAAACTGAAGCCTGAAAGAAGCTGGTTCTCGGTGCAACACAAAGCACCTGTAACTGTAGAAGGCAAACAGCCACGCTTGCACTGATGTCAGTTATGTTACTCGTTACCCTGCACATTGCCTTGCCTATTGAAAGCTGTCCCTGAAAGTTCAGGCCTTTCTACTCAAAGTCTGGCTCCACTTCCATGCATTGCTGGTACTTCAGCCATAGTCTGCGTGGAAATGAACTGGAAATGACTGGATCAGCAGAGTGAAAAACTGTTCAATATGCGGGAATACTGACATCTCACTGCCATGCCTGATGCACCTTAACCACAGCATCCAGCCACTAAAGACAGGGCTGTGCCTGCAACCCTCGAGACATGCAGCCAACACTGCATTCGCACATGGGAGGCAGAGATGTGGAGATCCAAGTACCTTGTTGGCAGAACACAAGACAGCCCAGAACCCAAGGCAGCCCTTGTTTTATGAGGTGGGATATAAAAATGGCCCCCAGATAGTCCTGGTCCAGTGGACATGTGCAGGGTAACACTGTTAACAATCATTCTCCATGATGCAGAGTCATCAAAGGAAAGAAAAAAATGTAATCAACAGTATTTGAGATTGCCATATATCTATGGGAAATCACTGTTGCCAGAGTCAGGGGAGAAATCTTCTAGTATAAATACAACAGCGAGGATGAAGGAAAAATATGGCAGATTTAATTTTTATTCTAGAGGCTCTGCTTGTGTTTCTAGACAGGAGAATTTCTAGAGCAGGCAGTTGCAGCAATTTGAAGAGGGTCTGGCAACAGCAGATGATCATGCCTGATGGTGCAGATTATTTGGTTGTTCGGGAAAACTATACATATTACTGTAGATGAAGTAAAAGAAGTCATGGACATAAGTAGGGACAGGAGTAGGCATGTGGTGGGCTTCCTGCGCATTAGTTGAGTGTGCTAGAAAAAGACTCTCAAATACTCTCACAAATCAAATTCTTTGTCCAAAATAATATTCTGCTGCTAACGATGGAAGAAAAAAAGTGGAAAAAGAGTACTGCACTGTGCTTCTCCAGCCACCTTAATTGCACACATACATGCACTGTCCCGGGAAGGAGGGCAAACGCTTTGCACCCGAAACGCTGTGCAAAGCTGCGCATTCTTGTCATCCATCTTTGTGCCAGGACTAACATTGGTGTGGCTGAAGCCAGTCTGACACAAAACAAATCATAATGCCTTTTCCGTCTGAAAATCAGCCATAGCAACTCCCCTCTCTTTTAGCTCCTTTGCTTTGGGAAACTTGAAATTATTCTTCTTTTTCAGATTTTTTTGCTGTAAAACACATCCGTTGTGAGAGTTCCGAGAAACCAGTTAATTTACAGGTAACAATGAGTAACAATTTACCCCACAATGAATTTTTATTCAGAAGAGCAGTAAGAGTCATTATATAATGCATTGTAAGCCCCAGAGGAAAAGCTAGTTACTGTAATTCTATTATGTACTCTGTTATGGAGACCAAAAAATATTTTCTACTACGGAATTACAACTTCCCTATACACTGGGACTGATTAAGAGCTCAACACCTACCAGGTTTTCTCCAAAACAGCATCCCACAAGGTTACAGACACCAAAGGAGTTTCAAACAAGCCTCACAAAGCTTATCTGCAGCAGGTGACAGACAGTACTAGAACAACCACCTTATTATCTGGAGAGCTTATTCCTCTCTTATCCTCCTATGGCAAGACACTCACTAGACCTGATGGACGGCAGGAAGATGATGCTTATTCTTGGGGTCACCCAAGAGACCAAGAAGTTGTCCACTCTACCCAAAGGGATTAAAAAGCTGTGCACGCACCAGCCACCTTTCTCTGTGGGTTTTTATACACAAGGGAGTGGTAAGTTATGCTTGTTTTGTGGTTCATGAGTCTTAGACTCACACTTAGCATTTCTGCTTAAACCAGAGTCTACAGTGAAGTAGGGCATCTAATAATCACTCTCTACCAAGCTTTGACTGACCAAAGAACAACGCAGAGCACCAATTGCTCTGCATTAGATTGCTCAAAAATACTTTTGCTAAAGCTTTCCAGATATTCCTCCTAGTTTCCCCTGAGCTATACAAAGAGCAACAACTCCCAGAGAGCCCTGGGATGCATCCTATATAAACCTGCCCGGGAACATCATTTGCTGCTGATACAAGCGTGCCAGTCCACGAAGTGTGTAAAGCCTAGAAAGAGGGAGACAGACACATTTGGTAAATCCCATGCACTACTTCATTAATCATTTGTAATATGAGAAAAAAAAAAACCTAAGTAGGTGTTCAAAGCAAGGATTATCAAATGCTTTTATCTCATGAACCTCAATTTCATACTTGGTCACTAGATGCAACTACAGTGCACGCAACAAACAATGTCACTCTGAAATTAATCTGATGTTTATCTTCCTGGTCCACTATTGCTCCAAATACTGTTTCAGGAGAAGGGGGGTCTCCAGGGGCTAAGGCAACAAACTGCTGTGTTATACCTGCACTGCGTATTGCTCCTTTGTTAAAGCAAGCTGGGCAGCAACAAGAAAGGCTGCTGTTTTGGATGCTGGGCTCAGAATTAGGTGAAACTTCCTTGAGAGAGAGGAGACGACCTTCCTTAACACCAACTTGGCTCACATAGCTGGGAAAACTTCTGTAGAGGAGCACGCACGAAGAGTAAGAGACATGCTCTGCAATGAGCCTGCAGCAGTCAGCCTGAGAGACTCTTCGGCTCAGAGCAGACTCTCACCCAGGCTGCAGGAGCAAGAGCAGGACCTCCGAAGGGGCCAGAGTGGACCGAATCCTGATGTGAGCCAGGACGCCACTGAAAACTGCTGAACTGAGAGCAAAATCAGACAGAAAGATTAAACCTGCACAGCCACAAACAGCCAGATGGTGGATTTCTTTTTGTGCTGGTTTTGGCTGGGATAGAGTTAATTTTCTTCATAGTAGCTAGTATGGGGCTATGTTTTGGATTTGTGCTAAAAACAGTGTTGATAACACAGCGATGTTTTCATTATTGCTGAGCAGTGCTTACACAGAGTCAAGGCCTTTTCTGCTCCTCACACCACCCCACCAGCGAGGAGGCTGGGGGTGCACAAGAAGCTGGGAGGGGACACAGCTGGGACAGCTGACCCCAACTGACCAAAGGGATATTCCATACCATATGATATCAT